CCTGAAGGGCCGGGCGTGGGGACACGCCGTTCCTCCGGGTTCCGAACGGGGTGGGGGGTGAGCTCCGGCTCCTCACTCGGCCCTGCACCTACTGGGCCCGGCACCGCTCACACCCCGTTCCCGCCCCTGCGCGAGGCCGCAGAAAGAGCCTGGCCAGGGCCTCTCTCTACTCCATTTTGCCAGTTGTCTGAGAAGCCAAAAAAAGTTTCTAGAACTGCCAGCCCTTAAAAAAAATGAAAAGGAAGAGAAGAAATGGGAGCAGGCAGCCCTCGTCAGCAGACTGGGAGCCGCGTGGGCCCGGAGCTATTTGCATTCCGGTCTGCGGGGGCTCGGGGATGCTGGTGACAGGCCTGGTTCCTGGTGGCTCGCCCCCACCTGTGGGCGTCGGGAAGGATCCCTTCCATCTCTCAGCGGCAGAGGAGGCCCTGGCATCGTCCTGGCTGCAGCCGGGCAATCCCAAGGAGTCCTGGTCACCGTCACCCCGCCGGGAGGGGCCACAAGGACCTGGGCCTCTGCCACCAAGCTTTGTCCCCTCTTGCTGTAGGGAGCCAGTGATTCTCCTCCGACCTGATGATTGCTTGGTTTTTTTAAAGGGAGATTTGAGGGGTGAGAAGTGCGTTTCTGTGTGGCTACTCCGGTCTGGTGTGCTGTGGGTCATTGAAGGTGTGGCCTGCGTGGGTGCAGTGACGTTGGATTGTCAGGTGGCAGTAGGGGAGCCCTGCTATGTCAGTGCTAATGAAAGATGTTGGTTTGTTTCTGAAATAAAGCTAAACAAGCCTGCACATGCAGAGGCTTGGACCCTGGTAGAAACTTCCCTCTGCCGATTTGTTTTGTTTTGTCAGGGGCTCAAAGGCCTACCTGCTCCACCCAAAATGGCAGGTTCCATTCTCCAAGAGCCAGTCAGGGACCACTCTCATCCTCTAGTCAGTGAGGCCCCCAACGCCCTTCTTCCACCTGGACTGGTTCTCTGGCCCTTGCAGGGCCTCGCTGTCCTGCCCCATTCCAGCTGCCTCCACCCCATTCCAGCTGCCTCCACCCCATCAGTCTCTGGGGTGTCTGCCCTTCTGGGGGTGGGTGCAGATGAAGGTGCAAACTTCTCTGCTGCCCCCTGCCCCACACCTCCAAAATAAGCTGCCCACATCTTTTCTCTGGCAAGCTCACTGCTAACTCACTGGAGGGGGAGGCGTGGGGAGCTGATCTCCAGAGACCCTCCAGTGGGTGCTCTCTGGTATGTACTGAGAGCGGGTGGGCCCGGCTGGTCTTTGTCAGTGCTCTGCTCTCCCTCTGGAAGGGGAGGTTTTCTCTGTTTCCCTCTCTCATGGCTTCACTTGGCCCCCACACCATCCCGCCTCACCACTGTGGCCATCTCCCAGAGCCAGGTCTTGCCCACCACTGCACACAGGCCATTTTCCATGAAGTCGGCTCAATTATCACAAAGCCAGTCAATTCCTGGGGACCTGGATGGCCAGAGTTGACCCATCTTGTCTCTGCATCACATGGCCCAGTCTCAGCTGCACTGTCACCCCAGCTCGCCTCATGCTACCACTTCCCCACCCTGAACTTTTGGAAAAGGAAAGTTAACCTTTGGGCACCCTAGCTCCTCATCTGAAAAACACACAGAGTACGATCACCGGCGTGGTGAGGCGGTTGTGAAGATCGAATCTAAGACACAAAACACTCAGCACAGTGCTTGGCAGACGGCGGGTGCAGGAAGGATGCTCACTGTCACTATTGCTGTTACTCTAGAACCTGTTTTCTTGTCTTCAATCTCAAATTCCTGGGAGAGATCATCCGATTGGCCCAGTGTGCATCAGGCTTTCAGGTGTCTATCACTGGACCAGTCAGCACAGGCCAGAAGCAGGGTCTGTTCGCTGACACATGGCCACCGAAGCCCCAGAAAAAGGAAATGAAATCCTTGTGAGTCAGGCAGCCATTCCCCAGCACCGCCATGGCTACCAGGTCTGTGGTAGGTCTATTGGCCATTGGTCCAGCAAATACTTAGTGATACCTACTGTCAGTACCAGGCCGAGACCTAGGCAAGAGGGACCCTAGTCCTCAGTTTTGTGCTTTCAAGCAGTGCTTTTCAGACTTTGATGTGCACATTAATTGCCTGGGGATCTTGTTAAAATGTAGATTCTGGTTCAGAAGGCCTGGCGTGAGGCTGAGAGCCTACAGTTCTAACCAACTCCTAGTTGGTGCCTGCGCCGGTGGTCCGGGGACCACCCTTTGAGACGCAAACCTTCAGAGGCCTCTGCCGGAGCCCTGCCCTAGGCCACACTCCACCACCCACAGAGGGAGGAATCACAGGGAAAAGGGATGCGTTCACTCAAGGGTCTTTGTTTTTTTGAAACGGAGTCTTGCTCGGTTGCTCAGGCTGGAGTGCAGTGGTACAATCTTGGCTCATTACAACCTCCGCCTTCCGGGTTCAAGTGATTCTCCTGCCTCAGCCTCTCAAGTAGCTGGAACTACAGGTGCCTGCCACCACGCATGGCTACTTTTTGTATTTTTAGTAGAAATGGGTTTCACCATGTTGGCCAGGATGGTCTCGAACTCCTGACCTCGTGATCCGCCCACCTCGGCCTCCCAAAGGCCTCCCAAAGGGATTACAGGCATGAGCCACCACACCCGGCCTCAGAGCCCATTTTTCACACCATATTCCAGATACCCTGAATCCTGGAATTCATACCCCAAACAGCCCTGAGCCAGCTTCCAGGGTTTGGAGGGCCCCTTCCCTAGATCCTACCTCCCAAGGCAGCCAAAGCCTTGGAGGTTCCAGTGAGCCATGATGGTGCCGCTGCCCTCCAGACCACACCCTGTCTCAAAAAAAAAAGATATTCCAATTTTGTGGAATAAAAACCAGCTCACTCACCTAAGATTCAGGAAACTTGAATTCTAGTTCCACTTTGGTGTTCACCCCGGGCCGATACTTTCTCCTCTCCCCATCTCAGTTCCCAAATCCATAAACTAAGAAGTGGGTGTGGTGCCTTGACAATTTCTAGCTCTAACAGTAATTCGTAGACTAAAACGCATCTGAGTCTTCACAGGGTTGTTGCCTGTGCTGAAGTGAGAGGACCCGGGTGGACTCCCTTTGTTTCTGACTTTCTCAGCTGCCTGTGAGTTGGTGCTAACAGGCCAGAAGCTGGGTTTCACAGCGGAGAGTCATATACATCGAAGGCTCTCACCTTGAGCATGTGCCAGGATCACCTGAGGGCTTATTAAAACACAGACTGTGAAGCTGGGTGCAATGGTGTGTGCCTGTCATCCCAGCTACTGGGAGGTTGAGGCAGGAGGATTGCTTAAGTCCAGGAGTTGAGGTCAGCCTGGGCAACATAGTGAGACTCCCATCTCTAAATATATATATATTGGCCAGGCATGGTGGTTCACACCTGTAATCCCAGAACTGTGGGAGGCTGAGGTGCGAGGATTGCTTGAGCCCAGTAGTTCAAGACCAGCCTGGGCAACACAGACCCAATCTCTACCAAAAAAAAAAAAAAAAGAAAAGAAAAAGCTTTTAATTAGCCAGGCGTGGTGACGTGTGCCTGTGGTCCCAGCTACTCAGGAGGCTGACAACGGAGGATCAGTTGGGCCCAGGAGTTCGAGGTTGTAGTGAGCTCTGAGCTGTGATTGCGTCACTGCACCCCAGCCTGGCAGGTTCCCAGCTGGTCCAATGCTGCCGCTCGCTCCACCTCACTTTGAAGAACACTGTTCAGGTCAATGTGAGCTCACACGCCGTGAGTGCATTAGCAGGTGCCTGCCCCAGGGGCTCCAGGGCTGGGGTGGGAAGGGCGAGTGGTTCCCCCTAACCAGGGGACCTCATGGAGGAGTCTGGGCCCAGCCTGGAAGAAAAGCCAGGTCTGTGTCCATGGGCCCCGGGGGCTCCATATGGAGAGGTGGAAGGTGCCTCAGCGCCTTGCCCGGGTCTCCGAGCAAGCGGGCTGCAGGTGGAATGGCGTTCTGACTTCACCCTTTCCCAGCGTGTTGCTCCCCGGTCCCTCTGGCCCTGCACTCCCCACCTCACGATTCTGAGCAGGGCCATCGGGAAGAGGAGAGAACTCAGAGGTTAGCATATGAAGGTCGTTTGTGGTCAGAACCCCCCTTCCTCCTTCCCAGCTTCCGAGGTCCCTGGAAACCTCCAATTCCACAGAAAAACCAAACGTTATCTCCCTACTGTGCTCAGTCTTTGGGTTGTTGGAGGTTGAAGAGAAGGGCCTGGTGGTTTACCGGGCAGGGCATTCTTAGCCAGGATCCCCATCCGACGACTGTGTGGCAGACTCTGCTGCTGGTCTTCTCCCCTTCTTCCTGTCTAGCAGACCCCGATTTTGTTCGGGTGGCAATGCGCCCGACTAAAAATACTCACTCATGCTTGCCCAGGCAACTCAGTTCTGGCTGAAGAAACCTAAGAAGTTCCAGGGCGTGGGTTTCAGGGAGGCTTTTGAGGAGGAACTAACAGCTGGCACAGCCCATTGCCCCGGAGCCCTTCTCCCTCTTCCTGCCCAGAAAATGGACAGGATTGCTGGAAAATGGAACAAGAAGCGCAAGGAAAAGGACCGCGTGGTCAGGAGAGCAGAGCAAAAGACAGAAGCATTCGGCTCAGGTGACAGCGCCCAGGCCTGAACAGCCTAGACTCCCTGACTGCTGATTCCGGCCTTCTCTCGTTTCAGCCAGCTGCATTCTGAATTGATGTAAGTGGTAACAGTGGAAAGAGCCTGAGATGGGCCCTTGGGGCTCCTAGGCTCTTGTCCTGGCTTTGTGTGGCTCAGGGAAAGTCATGGCCCCTCCGTGTGACCCGTTTCTTCATCTGTGGGGTGACCTGAAGGCCTCCAGGGTCTCCTCAGGCCCTTCTGTAGCTCGGATTCAAGAACCAGAGCTGGTCCCAGCTGAAAGTTCCCGAGATGGGCATAAGTGGGGGTTTCAGGGATGGGGCAGGAAATCACCTTGCGAACAGGTGACAACTGGGGTTGGTGTCTTCTCAGCGTTCAGCCCAAAGGAAACCTTGAAGCACAGAATTCAAGGGGTCTGTCAACAACAGTCCAGTTGTTGGAAGCCTTTTATCACCCCAAAGGGGAATTGTTTCTAAGTATCTCCTTGATTGTGACCTTGGGACTACATTTGTCCCTGGAAGAAGCCCCTGGGGATCGCTGCAGACCGGTTCCCGGCCCCACACGCCTTGTAAGTTAGGTGGGATGGCCGATGGTTAGATGGTTGGAGCTGCCTCAGAGGGAAGCCTGAGGCGCTTTTGATTGGTGGCAACCAGGTCATGAGGCAACCTCTGTGACGTGTGAGTCAGCTTAGGCCTGTGTCCTGTGGCAGAGCCCTGGTTGTGGAGGCAGAGCCATCCCCTCCAGAAGTACAAGGCCTGAGACTGGAGACGAGGAAAGAGCAGGTACCATCAGAAAAGAATGAAAGAATGGGAAATAGATGCCGGCTGCCCCAAACCGCACCATCCTCCACCCTGGCCCAGCCACAGCCCTGTCCTGGCGCGGATTCCTTAAAGCACCTGTCGGTTCTGTGGGCTTTCTAGGGAGGCGGGAGGGTGGGGGCCTATGTCTCAGAGGCAGAATGCACCAAAAGCACTTTTCAAAGGCCATCTGTGGGCAGAGGCACTAACTGGAGATTGCAACAGATGTTTTCATGATCGAGCTAGTGTGAGTCGGCTCAGGAACAGCCACGCTCCACAGAGGCAACCCGTGAGCCTCCGTTAAAGAGGATCATTGGCCAGATTCCACCACGAAGGCTCTGGGATTCTGCCTGCTCCCTCCTTCTCTTCCTGCCCCCTTTGGAAGGCCTCCTCCAGACTCCAAGCCCAGCCGGTGATGGAATCACCGTAGCCGCAGTAAACCCATCTGTGACCGTGGGACACACTGCAGGGGTGGAGAGGAAAGCTTGCCTTTGAACACAGTAAAATAGATTCACCTGTCTCTTCCCTTGGTAAAAATCCTCTGTGTGTGTGCGTGCGTTGTGTGCATGTGTCTGTATGTGTGTGTGCATGTGACTGCGTGTGTCTGTGTGTGCACGTGTGTGTACATGTGGCTGTGTGTGTGTGTGTCTGTGTGCACGTATGTGTACATGTGGCTGTGTGTGTGCGTGTGTGTATGCATGTGTGTGTGCGTGTCTGCATGTGTGTGTCTAC